AAGGGATTATTTTACAAATTTTGGGCTAATTTAGGAAATATATAGACATAAAATTGGTGAAAATATTTAAGGAGTGGTATGCATATTAAAGTTGCAAGTGACAAAATGTGTATTTCATTAGCAGATTTTGACTTTTTAAAATATAATATATATATATATATATATATATATATATATATATATATATATATATATATATATATCTTTAATTTCCATTCCTTTATAATATAAAGGAATGGAAAAAATAAAAAACTTTGAAAATACAAAATAGAGGGGCTTTTCAAAGTCTCGAACTCTGGACCTCTTTGAATTTGTAGGTGGAACTTTACCAGTTCAGCTACAACACCTATTCAGAAAATTTTACATTTACATTTACATAATATATAAATATATAGGGAATATTTTTTTTTCAAAATCAAGGGTGTGCAGTTGCACACCCTAGGACTACACTAGATACGCCACTGTATGTATGTTCTTTATAATTTGTGTTTTTTTGTTTTTTAGGTCGAAATAGAAAGAATGAATTGATATAGTTTAGGCATTATAATTTAAGGGTTAGATTGGAGCAAATCGATTGGAGCAAAAAAGACTTAATGCACTTGTTTTCACAAAGTACAATCTAAGGCTTGAAGCGCGACATCAAAAGAGGGTTAAAGATGGTGAGTTCTATGATCCTATTTCTCTATCTGACATGGAATCTGATGATGAATGGATAACGGAAAGAGAAGATCCAACTCTACCGGAGAATACAGATTGGTTAGATATTAACGAGTGTTTTCAATTGGAAAATGGTGAATCAAGCAAAAGAAAGAAAAGAGGTAATTTATTATCATGCATTATATCCTTGGTATATGGTCATTCAATTTATTATTTGAATTGTCTAAATACATGACATGTATTTTTCATAGGACCTAGAGATATTAATAAGAAAGGTAAAGAAAAAGCCATTGAAGAAGAGGAACAAGAAGAAGAAGTAGCTCTCAAACAACTGAATGAAGTAAATTTCAGTGAAGAAAATGTTCAAAATGAAGAGCTGTTGGATTTAAATGATGATACTACTTTCTATTTCAGTGATTAAAAACATTAGCAATAGTGCAATATTATTTTTGTATTATACTTTTTGTGGTTTTGTGTGTTGAAAAAGTGATTAATGACATTAGCAAAAATATTTTTGTATTACATTGTTTTGTGGTTTTGTTGTGATGAAAAGTCCATGTTTTTCTTATCAAAAAAAAAAAAAAGTCCATGTTTAAAGAAACATATGACATGGACTTTTATTATATGCAACATGATTTTTGTTGAAAAATAGTATGTTATGGATATATTAATATTTATATATATATATTTTTTAAAACTTACGATTTACGATTCGATTCGATTCGATTTACGATTTACATTTTTGATAAAACGATTTTCGATTCGATTTACGATTTAACAACCATGGTTATAGTAATATTATTGTCACTCACAATAATATTAATTTTTTTGGCTTTTTATTATGGGTACATTTGTTGAACGGTCAACATAGTAATATTACTCTATTACACAGTAATAATGAGTTTTGTTGTGTTAATATTATTGTGCTAGAGATTAATATAACAATATTACTGTGGTAAACTGTAGTTTAGTTAATTTTAAAGTGTTTAACAGTAATATAGTTAATATTACTGTCAATCACAACAATATTGCTATTTAAAAAAAAATTGATAAGTCAACGCCGGAGACCGGCGGGAAAAAAAATTTGAAATTTAAAAAAAAAAAAAAAAAAAAACTGGGTCAAAATTGAATAATTTGTGAAATTTGGGGTCAAATTGAGGTTAAATTAAGTTAAGGATGAAATTGGAGCATATTATAGTATGAGGGGCTATGCTAGTCTTTTACAAAAATCTGGACCATGTATAGACTTGTTGTATAGACTTTTTGAGATACATGCGATCACAGAACACGTGAACTAGGCCGGGGGTTGATCCGGCAGAGACCCCTCCAATCGCCAAATTCTGACGTGCTGAATAGTATAAATGATCCAGAGAATACATATTATAGTATGGGTAAATAGCATTAAACCACCTAATTTTTTTCAGTTTTTGCGGATCACCACCTGAACAATTTTTTTTTGCATGAGTTCACCTGTACTTAATAAATTGTGTCACTTTGCCATTTTTTGCCCGTTTTCAGGTCAAAATGACCGATTCTCAACACATGTGCGTTGCACATGACAAATCTAAGGCTATTGACGTCTTTTCCATTTTTAAAATGGAATAAATGTTTTTTTTTTTAGGATAAATGGATTAAATGTTAAATAAAATAAATAAATAAATAAAAGGCCTTCATCTTCTACCCAATCCCAGGATCGGAACTACCCATCTCACGCACACCACCCCACTCTACTCACCGAATTCACAATTTTCAGCCGTCCGCCGCTCACCACCAGGAACCAGCTCCGCCCTCTTGCACAACCACCAAGCTCACCACCATCACCACATCTTCATCACATCCGCCGCCCACAACCCAGCTCCGCCCTCTTGCACAACCACCATACTCACCACCACCACCACATCTTCAGATCCGCCGCCCCACCACCACCACCACATCTTCAGATCCGCCGCCCACAATCTCAAACGAGATATTTCGACAATGAACACAATACATTCTAAAGTTTGTATTTTGAACACATTTAATCCCAACCCATTTTAATTGAATGAAATTGGTCCTAAAATTACGTCAAAAATGCCCATTTAATTTTCCCTTTCCCTAATTCAGGTTATATGAACACTATTTTCTCTCGATTTATTCCTCCGAATCAACTAGATCATCTTCCAACGAATGGAGGATTAGATGATCTTCTCACAATTGAGGCCGCGACGAAAGTGCGCGGCGCTTGGCGGTGAGATCGGGTATGAAATCCTCTGCTTTTGCAACAAACACACTACCACTCCGAAATGATAAAACCACCACCAGTTGCACAAAAATTCGTCCCCCCATTTTCACCAAGATCATCCCACTTCAATTCAAATGCAAAATAAAATTAATTTTTTTTATTAAAATCAACAGATCTGAAGTGGGATTCAATCAAAGAATCAAATATTCGATGAAAAAAAGTGAAACACAAACGTACCAAGTTAATTCATACCGATTAAATTAGTGAAAAACGGGAAATAATGTGTTTTGTGTGTGTGTGTATGTGAGAGAATCTTTCTTCAAAACCTGTGTTCTGCAACTGCAAGTGGGTTTTATCCCCTGCATATGTAGGTATAATGTATGTATATATAAAATTGATTAATTAAATAAGGGTAAATTACAAACACCCCCTGAGGTATGGTCAAATTACAAAAACCCCCCTCTTGTTTGGATAATTACATCTACCCCCCTCAACTATGATTTTTTCTTAGACCTCCACCTTTATGGTGCCAAATTCAATATAGTCATCTAGATTCCGTGAAATGTGCTCTAGTTTGTACTCTTTTTGTCTAAAAAATACAGTTTCCGTTGCACCACAAACTAATATATACAAGCTAAAAATCACATATTATGATCATCTTGCTTCATAATGTAGAGTTTGAATGGGATAAAACGGGTACAAAAGTGATAATATTCCATATAATCTCGAAGATTCCACTAAATTTGATGAGTTGAGGGGGTGGTTGTAATTATCCAAACAAGAGGGGTGTTTTTGTAATTTGACCATACCTCAGGGGGTATTTGTAATTTACCCATTAAATAAAATAAAACTGACATGTTTTTTTTTCCTTTAATTATTCTATTTTATATTTATTCCATTTATCCTAAAAAAACATTTATTCCATTTTAAAAATGGAAAATACATCAATACCCTTGAATTTGTCATGTGCAACGCACATGTGTTGAGAACCGGTCATTTTGACCTGAAAACGGGCAAAAAATGGCAAAGTGACACAATTTATTAAGTACAGGTGAACTCTTGCAAAAAAAAATTGTTCAGGTGGTGATCCGCAAAAACTGAAAAAGTTTAGGTGGTTTAATGTTATTTACCCTTATAGTATTGCTCAGTTAAATAGACGTACCTTAAGGAATGAGTTCACACATTTATTTATAGCTTAGTTGAGATTGTCGGGCCCAAATCATACTCGAAGGTGATTGGGCCTCGGTAATAGTGGTCTTAAATATTGGGTTTGTGCCCCATTAGGTAAATAAATTGTAGACCCATTGGGTTAACCAATTAGGCATATTAGATGGGTAAATAACACTAAACCATCTAAACTTTGTTGTTTTTGAGGATTACCACATCAAAAAATAAAATATAATTCCACCTGAACTCAATAAATTGAAGTGGCACTAGGCGTACAGGGAGCAGCGATTGGAAGATGGAGGAATTGTGGAAGGAGAGAAGTGTTAGGATTTGGATGGGAAATAAAAAATTAAATGAGCAGATCGTGGTGGCCTTATTTCACAAAAAAATGCCCATTAAGAATAAAACTGTCACAGCATTGGGCTTCAGAGGGTTCCTAAAATTAAAAACAGAATTTGAGTTTTCGAGTAGGGTGGAGATAATCTCATCTCATGTATTTTCATAAATCGAGGGATATGACATATTTTCCAAAAAATAAAATTATATTTAATTTTGTAAGATGGTGAAGCCTAAGGCCTCTTTTGGTTTGATGGATGAGATTGATTCATTTTGTGGGATTATATAAGATTACACTGTTCATGATTATATAATAACATAATTCTCGTATTTGGTTTGTAGGATAACTTCAACCGGGATAACGATTGATAAGGTGTTAAATTACATAACACCCCTTACGCACACAGAGAAAATAAAGAGCGACTGAAAACAATAAAAAATAAAAAATAAAAAATAAAAAATAACCATCTAGCGCGACTAAAAAATAATTAAAGAGATTTGCAATGTTAGCGATGGAGTAATTAATTTGCTAATAATATGAAACGTGCAAAATAAAATAATTAGAACTAATATCACAGAAATTCAAATAACCATCTCCATTACCGACGTCACGCAGAGAATCATAGAGAAACGACTAGGATGAAAGTTTTTGAATCAGAGGAGAAGAAATCGAAAACGAAGAAGCTCAAGTTCATGAAAAACAAAACTAGGGTTTCAAAATCGGAGACAACGATGAAGCCCAAGTTATTGAAAAAAAGCATTAGGGTTTCAAAATCGGAGCGGAAGTCGACGGTCAACAAATCGAAGAGCCGTAGAAAACTCTCAGAGGAGGAGTTGATGGAGAGAACAATGATATGCGTATGTCCTTTTTTTTTATTTTTTTTTCAATTTCTACTGTAGTTTTTGCTAACAATCAATTTTGCATCTTCAATTTCTTAATAATAATAATAGTAATAATTATAGGGAGGTACAGTTGTGGCATATGACCGAGATGATTCCAGCAGATGTTTCCTCGGAGAGCATCTCAAATCTCTTGTCAACCTAGCAATTGATTTCTATAACACAAACAATGTATGTATGTATATGTATTTTCTTATTTTTCTAATCAATTTTTTGTTTTTAGTCGGAAATTTAATGATTAATTGCTTCTTCTAAAGTGCAAGGATTATCGTATGGTGTACCTGGTGAGAGCAATGTACGAATCTTGCCAGGGTTCTTTGTACTATATGACGATGACCGCCAAGCTGCCGAACCAAGATGATTCCGATGCCGTAACTTTCGAGGCAGAGGTTTACGAGGGAATCCCAGACACTGTAGTACGCTATGTTCGTGTGCTCGATGATGCACCTTCACTTTCACCTCTCTCTGTTTAGCTGCTGCTATTTATCGGTAATTTCATTTTTCATTTTTTATTTTTTATTTTTTTCTTTCCCATTTGATTGATAATAGTACCGTTAATTAATGTCATCTCGGTCTAGAGTATGTTCATATATATATATGTATGGTCTTTACGTGTAGGGAATTTAATCTGTTAACCAGCATGTTGTGTCAATTTCCATCAATTCCTTGGGGGTCCATTTGGATGGAGGGATTTGGGGAGGGATTTGATTTGGGGAATGGATTTGAAATGACTCCAATTTTGGAGTCATTTGAAATCCATCACTATTGCTCCAAAATCAACTAAAAAGGAGGGGTGGGGATTTGAAATCCATCTCCAAATCCCTCAATCCAAACAAGTCCGAGGGATTTGTTATTATGGATTTGAAATCCCTCCCCCAAATCCCTCCATCCAAATGCACCCTGGTATTATTACATTAATTGAGCTAATGGAATGTATTAATTTGTTTCTGGCAAATATAACCAATCATGTTATGGAGAGCTCGATTGATATGTTGGCGAGGATTGTGTGGGACCCAATTTTCAATGTAGTAAGCCTTGATATTTGCCCACAAAAAAATTATTGAAATGCTTTATTGAATCATTATTGCTGGAGAATTATCGATTCGGTAGTTGGGATTCTCGACGAGTTAAGGTGCTATTTGTTGGACATGTGGTAGTATAATGGAATTTATCAGTTTGCACGTTTTATTTTCTTATGATTTCTTATAAATTGCAACTTCACTAATCGTTTGGACCACTCTTTAATATGGTGGTTAATATACTGACGCAACCATCCATCGCCCTCCCTATAAACTAGTTCTGACTTTGAAGTTAATTTATCGATACGTTTCTTCCAGCGACGATTGATGTTCAGAAAATAAAAATTTATATATGCATGTACATATATGTGTATACACAACACTACATAGCAGTTTTGACTGTACATGCTAATTTGCAAAATACAGCTTGCTTTTGAATAAACATGTGTTGACAATTGAAAATACCATTAGGAATAAAATAAACGACGTGTATATAAATATCTAAGAACATATATTTCATCATCTGTTTACTGGAGGAAGGCTGTAGTTGTATGTATTTGAGGACACAAACAAAGAATTGTCATTAGATGGTTAAGTTGTAATAAAGCTTGATTAGTTATCGAAAGGCCCGGGGCCCTTATATTAGCATTTAACGTTTTTTTTGGGATTTTTCATTTGCAAGTGATTCCAGCCTCCAGGTTCAGAGCTCGAAAAATGCTAATCTTGATGAATTTTGTGGTTGTCCAATTTATGTATCTTCTCTTAAATATATATATATATATATATATATATATATATATATATATATATATATATATATATATATATATATGCTTATGGAATATGAATTTGTTCTTCCTTTTAGTATATATGTATTTAGAATCTCTGTTTTATTCGTGAATTTTACCAGATTTTGTTATGGTGAATGTATTTATATGTTCCTTAGTTTAATGCACACGATGACGTACATCCAATGGTATTACTTTGTTGAGTTAAATACACTTTCCACACCTGTATTTTGATCAATTTGCTAGTATACCTCTCTTTTCTATGAAACGACGCCGTTTTATATGAAACGAATAAATCCAGCATAAACTCCCTTGCCTTTTCACTTTCTCTCTAGAAAATGTAAAACTGGATTTTATTGTTGTTATTATTTTTCTCACTTTTTGTAAATACCTGGTTTCTGCTAGAGGTTCCTTTGTTTTTGTTTTATGTTTTATATTAGGTCCAAATTTTATGCCTTTGGTTTCGATTCTCCCTGCCTTCGTTTATTTGCAGGTAGGTTATTGGTGATGATCTTCAAAATGCTAATGGAAGATTTTCCCTCGATCTTACCGGAACGTTATCTTTCTCTTTCTTTGATTACATATGTGTATGTTTATTTCTTTTGGTTTCTTATGAATCCGGTTTGGTGCCTTTGTTTCGATTTTCTCTTCATCCAATTTGTTTTTGTCAGGTTCCTGCCATCCTTTATAATAATTTTCGGAAATGCTAGAGAAAGCAATTTTCTTTTCGCAAGGTATATTTCTCTCTTTTTTCTTGTTTCTTAATGTATTTGTGCGTATATGTATCTGTATATATATTATGCAACGAATTTGGTTCTGTATATTCTGGTTAAGTGAATTTAATTTGCTTATGTATTTAGTTAATATGCTGATGTGTAGTTTAATCCTTTGTGATTATCTGATGCCTTGGTATTATGAAGAAAGTATATTTTTGTAAAGATCCTTTAAACAATTCTTCCGTATCAATTTTAATCTTTGGTATACTTCATTAACTTCTTTGTGAAAGTTTGAATTTTGTTTTTTATTTTTTTATTTTTCAGCATGATTTTTTTTTTGGAGTATACATGAACAAAACTTTATCTTGTTTTGATAGCCTTCTCTGAGAAAGGGTGTAGTTAGATTTCCTAGGTGTTTGTTCCCATTGCAGGTCTTCCACTTTAGTTTCACCAAGGTTAATAATTTGTTTGTCTTCTACTGTGTTTATGTTAATTATTTCGTCCGTGGTTTGTGTGGGTGGAAATTTTGTTGAAATTCCGTAGCTCTTGTCACATAAATGGCTACATCTGCACATAGTACAAAAAGAATGAACTATTTAACCAGAGTCTTTCAACATTTCACTTGATGGATCTCAATGCACGAATCTTATGTGTTTCGTGCACTTCTTTTTTCATTAGTCTTGTTTAGCTATTCATTTTAGTGTGATATTTGTGTAAATCTTCATAATCTTTGTTCCTTATTTTTTTCTTGCACTTCTTTCTTGATTAATCTTGTTTAGCTATTCATTTTGGTGAGATACTTGTGTTTTGTAGTTTGAGTCATAGAATTTTGTGTTTTTCTTGCTCGAGTATCGGATGTTTTGTTTTTCGTGTTAATGGATGGAAACGCTTTGAGTGCAGGTATGTATGCTCTTATGGTATGATGTTCGGCTGATGAGTTCTTCCTTCCGCCTCCGTCAACCCTCTCCCTCTGTCTCCTGCCTCCCGTCCAAACCAGGTAAAACACGCTTGTATAATGAAAGGGTGTAGTGGTGTTTTTAGGTATCACTGTATTTGGATCTCAGTTGTTATGGAATAATTTTTTTTTTGTGGTGCTATGAGTATTTTAATTTTCTTTTCGTGTTGTTTTACTCTTCTTTTTTTACCTGTATGTATATCCGTTTTAATATCGTTGACTAAATTATTTCTCAAAATTTACGTTCGAAACAGTTGTTATATGGTTAACTTTTTTTGGTTTTTTTTTACAAGGGTCTTGAAACTTGGTTTTGCAGAAGTTTCAATCAGCTCAAGCACATTCATAAGTATGTCAGTGATCTGTATCTGCTCAAAACCCAATTAGATAGAAATATGTGTTTTTGCTTCATTAGCTCATTTTGCCTTCTGTTAGACTTTTGCTGCTGATATGCTTGGAAATGCTAATAGTTTGGCCAATCTACACAATACTAGTAATGCACATTTATTATAGGTCTCAACATTTATTATTGTATGATTGGATAATAAATGTTGGGCCTTTAATAAGGGGCTTTTAATATGTGAGCTGAACCCATTTAGTGGGAGATGGCCCATTAATACCTAGGGTTTAATTTTTCACTTTTAGAGCAGAAAAAAGGAAACGACTATCTCTATTTGAAAAGATTTGTCTTCTCCCATTGACTGATTTGAGTAATTCTTCTGTACTATGATTGACATTATTCCTAGTATAGTATAGAGTATAGACACAAACATTTATATTTTGATAGTGACTTTCCATTGTGTTTAATACCAATGATTTTGACACGTTTCTTTTCAAACACTAGTGGACAAAGGTGTGACTAGGGGTGTGAAGCCGTAAGTCATTTTGTTGTATGTTTTTTTTTTTTTTTTAATTATTATTATTTTATTATTATTAAAAAAATATTTTTTAAAATATAAACAATAACTTGTAGTTATATATATTTTGTAATATTTATTTTTATTTATTTCTATAATATTTTATGTTATTATACATTATTTAATTAAAAAATAATATATAAAAAGATACAAAAATAATAATAATAAATAAGGCTCGCGAGCCGGCTCGTGAGCCCATGAACAACTAAAAGTTGGCTCGTCAGAAAGCTCGAGCTCGCGAGCTTGGGCTCAAAAAACTCGAGTTCGAATTCGAGTTTTTTTAGAGCCGACTCATCGAGCTCACGAGTCGACTTAACTCGTTTACCAGTTACCACCCCTATGTGTGAGTTTACAAAAAAAAAAATTAAACCAGTGTCGTTTACATGTTTAAACACGTCTTAAGTTATACTTTTGTATTTAACTATATTGGAGATATTAATATTAAATGATACATTTCACCAAAAGCTTAAGCTGTTAGTGAAATGTATCATTTAATATTAATATCTCCAATAGATGACTTTCTTGGTTGGATTGGAGACTCAATAATTATATACCTCTCTGGCTCGTTTCGATTTTTTTGTTACAAAAAGTAAGAATATAAAATTAAATGAATATTTTACATTTGTTTAAAAAAAAAATGCTAGAAGACTGAGTCAACTCGGTTAATATCAGATTAAACCTATTTAGTGGGAGAGGCCCACATAAGAGTTTGCCCATTAATGCCTAGGCTTAGGTTTCCAGTTTTAGAGGTAAAAACAACGGCAGTTTCTATTTGAAAAGTTGGGAAGGAAAAGATTTGTGTGATTTGATTTGATATGGGACATTTGGGTAATAGTTCCTTTTGCTATAAGATAGACATATATATATATATATATATATATATATAGGCACATTTATCCATATGTGAGAGGTCTTCTTTTGTGTTTTGTCCCAATGGAGTTCGACACGTGTCTCTGCAAAGACTAATGGACAATGGTTGGAGTTAAGGAAACAAAAGTTAAACCAATGTTGTTTACTTTTGTACATGTACAATAAATTCATTGTTAACATGTTTACACGTGTCCTAGTTATGTTTTGTTGTTAATTTAATACTAGGCCAATTTATCCATGTGCCTAGTTAACAGTCAATTAAATATGTTATAAATCACAACCATCAAATTAATCACTCAATAATATTTTATATTTATATCGTAGGATTTAAATAAGCTGTGATCGCTCCTAATTAATTATTAGGACAAATATTAATTTTACCAAAGGTCTCATTTGGTTGTCATATTTAAAAATAACAGGACTTGTCAACTTGTTTTGTTGAAAATTAACATTCAAACTAATTCATGTATATCATCTAAACTGATTTTTTTTTTTAAATTAGCCGTTACACATGGTAAAGGTACGAACTGTGTAGCAGGGATACGGGGACATGGACACGGACGCGAGGGAACTCTATTTTCTAAAAAGTTGGATACAGAAATATGGGAAAACATATAAATATTAAAAATCTAAGGGTACATCAATAATTTGTAAATAATATTGTAACAATAACATATATACTTATCGTCAATTATATATTTTCTTTTCCGAAACATTTCCGAGATGTAGAAATGCATACTTACAGAAGTTACGTTATCGTGCATCATAGGTATCAAATGATCCTTTTCTTTTATATAAATACCCACTAATGATAAATGGCAAATTTGGTATAAAAAAAAAATCAAATTGAAAAAAACAGTTGCACTTAATATAATAAATAAAAATTATGGCCAAAGAGACAGCGTGAGTATTAGATTTAATATGAGAGATTAAACAGTTTAGTTTTCACAAACTAACTACTAGTATACATTCGTTCAATTAATTCAATTTATATATAACCAAATGCGGCCCTCGTCGTTAGTAATCGAACCTTTGACATTAACACCGTTTGTTTTAAGTCTCAAAATTACAAAAAAAAAACCACTCCTCCTAGTTTAAATAATTATTAAATTTAAAATAAAAAAATAAATTTTGGCTGGCGTCGTGGACTATGTTTTCTCATTGTCTTGAATTTTTAATTTTTTTTTTTTAATTTTTTAAATAATTATTTAAAGTGAGAGAAGTGGCGTTTTTGTAATTTCAGAGTTTAGATCAAACAATGTTAATGTCAAATATCTGATAACTAACATCGAGGGCCACACTGATACAACTTTTTTAAGTATATAAAATAAATCGATGCAATCGAGAATAAAATAGAATAAAGAAATACCAAGTCAAAGTAAAGACGGAACGTGGAATTTATCCTTATTGTAATATTAGCTTAATTAAGAATGAGATCAATAAAGGCAGAAAATTAGTTGACTTCTAAGTTCCTCTTTTTAACACACACACCCCCTTTTCCCAACCCCCCCCCCCCGCCCCCCCCCATACTGCAAGTTCATGGGTAGAAAAGCCAAATGCTGGCAAAGAAGTACAATACCGCAGTTTTTGCTTCAAAATAAAGATGCCGTTACATTTTGTCATCTTCTACAATTAATATTATGTACTAAAATGTTTTTTTGTTTACATTAATTGCCTTAAGTTTCATTTGCCTGTGTCAACACCATAATATTAATTGCAATATTTTTTTAAGAAAAAAAAAGTTAATTAACAGTTAAATTACTCTCTTCGGCAGTTAAATAACTGTTGGAGGCAGTAATTTAGCAGCCAAGATAGTAATATTAATTAATAGAATTTTTTGTAAGAAAAAAAAGGTTAAGTAACATTAAATTACTCTCTCCGACAGTTAAATAACTAATGGAAACAGTAATTTAGTAGTCAATACAGTAATATTAATTAAAGTATTTTTTTTAAGAAAAAACAAAATTCAAAAAAAAAAAAATCAAAGCCGGAGACCCTGCGGTTGACCTACCGGAAAAAAAATATCAGACAAAAAAAAAGTTTTCGAAAAAAAAAAGAGTCAACACGGTAGACCGTGGGTCTCCGGCGGTCTCTGGTGGTGGCGGGTCAAAATTGAAATTAGGGTAAAAAAATTAGTTAATTGGTGAAATTTGGCTAAATTAGTAAGTCGAGGTATGATCGTAGAATTCTTTTTTATTTGGGGGACAAAGAGCAAAAACGGCCAAAGTTAGGGGCAAATTGCAGTTAAACCTACTTTTAATTCTCTGGTTTAATTATGTAAGGTTAATAAAGTAATTTTACATGAAGTACGGTGGAGTACAACCTGTATCCGATCTATTTTTACTGGGTTCGTAGTTTAATTTATAAATTCATTGGTTCGTACTGGATCGTATTAGTTCGTACTTTAACTCAACGACTATAATTTTTTACTAAATATTTTCTACGCATCAGATTAAATCTTTTGGGTCCGAGTAGTACAACCCCTCTCGGACCCTAGACAACCCCTACTAAGTATACTACACAAAAAAAAAAAAAAAATACCAAATAACTTTACTGTTGAATAATTTTCCAAATGTATGGAATCAACTAATACTAGTAGATTGAAAAAGTAACAAAATCATCAACTATGTCTTTCATGTTGAGCTTAAAAGTAATTAGATTTAATAACTTAGTTAACATAATCAAAACTAAACTATCCACAACATCCCAGCGTAGAAGGCCATCTATACATATTGCATCGGAACTAAGCCCTTCTCCACTGCCTCGTTTTGGTCCTGTTTGCCACTGGAAGTAACAATTGGAAAATTAAGAAACAAAAATAAATATAAATAATAAATTAAATATCGCATACAAAGAATAAGTCTTAAAGGCCGACTTCCAATAGCTTGTGGTTCCGCCCATTTTCGCTTAGTTCTGTAAAAATCATCCCTTTCAATAACATGTGCTAGAACATCTAAAATGAAATGATTGTTATACATAAAATTTGAAATCTTTAGTATAAATTAATGAAACACATAATTTAATAAAATGAAATCACCTATAAGCCATGATGGAAAAAGATGCAAGCTAATTACCAGATAGTCAATAGGATGAAGAAGAAAATACGACAAAAATTCTAAAGTCGGGTTACCAAAAGAAAAAGTCGTAGGTAGGATGAATAAATAAAATTCAAATGTTGCAGACATTCTGTAAAACGATGTCGAAAAATCCGCTAGGAATGAAAATCAGATTTATTTACTCTTTTTTGTAAAAATTGAAAATCGGATTTATTATGAACTATGAAGAGAAAAGAAATTGCAAAATAGCTAACATTTTATGAAGCTACAAACATTTGGTAAATACGAGGAGAGAAAAAACTGGGGTGGAGAAGTTGAGAGCTGGGATATAAATAAAAAGAGAAAACACAAACGTGTTGAAGTGGAAGAGAGAAGTTGAAAGTGTTGAGAGTTTTAAG